ACTGCTAAGGATTGCTTGTTCAGTTGCACTTGTTGCTTTACTTAGCTTCTTCCTAAAAATCAGAGGTTAATAAAGGTCTTGACAGCAACAACTGACTTCTTAATGCTTTACCTCCCTAGGTACAAGGGAGCAACAAGTTACCAGTGAGCTAGATGTTTGCTATATGGACACAAGTCATGAAAGCTCTGAAACAGAACTCTTCCTTTTTTTTTTTTTTTTTTTTTTTCTTTTCCTCCTGTCCTCTTCTCTCCAGATTCCTGAGTCCCCTGAATATGCTTATTGGCGGTACTGTGGTGGTGCTGGTGTTCATGGGGTTTGTCTGGGTATCGCACAACAAGGATATACTCCGCAGACTGAAGAAGCAGTACCCAACCACGTTTGTAGTGGTCATCATGCTGTCTAGCTACTTCTTGATCTCCTATCTGGGAGATGTCATGGTATTCATGTTTGGGATCACGCTTCCTCTCCTCTGTAAGTATTCTTCCTCTTCTCTGGGTGGCTAGGGGCATGTGACGTGAGCTTTCTCAAATAAGTCTGCGGAGTCTAAATTGGCCATTGCCTTTACTATCTCTGTTTAAATGATCCTAAAACAAAACTGGGGGGAAGGGGACACACAAAACAGCACAAGCCATCTTTAATGTTATTATTAAATGGGTACCTGCAGTTACTTAAGCAGTCATTAAGACTTAATCTTCTTCCAGTGATGTCATGGCATTGGAGTGCTGCAAGAACTATGCATTCCTTGGGCATTAACAATTAATAGAAGTGTGTTTCTGTCATGCAGTGATGTTTGTCCATGCTTCTCTGAGGCTCCGGAACATAAAGAACAAGCTGGAGAACAAGATGGAAGGAATAGGCTTGAAGAAGACTCCGATGGGCATCATATTGGATGCTCTAGAACAGCAAGAGGATAGCATCAACAAACTGGCTGACTACATATCTAAAGCAAAGGAGTAAGCAGCTGCAACATGACATTTTTACCTGTTGCAGGAGTGTAGTTGCTATTTACTATTGTTCAAGCTTGCTTTCAGTTTGTGTACAAAACAGGAAATGCACGTGGTACAGATAAATAGTTGCAGGATATAGGTATTCCAAGATCTTCAGGGCTCCTCTAAAAACATAAGAGCAGCAACTTTTTTCTATTGTATAGCAAAACGTTCTGGTGTTTACACAAATACATACTAACTTAAACGTGTTTGCTTGTCTCTTCTTCTGGGGGGTAGAGGAGGAAGAGATGGAAACCTATGGAATGCAGTCTCTCAAACTGTCTTGTAGCAAATTTGTCTATTAAAAGTAACACCCCTTTCATCTCAGTTCTACAAGATGGCAGTTTAGCCAGTTTATGCTGGGTAGCACCTGCAGGCTGGCAATGTTCAAGGTGAGCTGGAACGTATCAAAAGTAGGTATCACTTGCATCTTCCAAATCCCCCACCTTGAGTGGTCTGTATTGAGACTGTCGCTAGCTTAACTGGCAAGTGGAAAAACTGTGCAATACTTGTAACGGATATGGGTTCCTGTCCTCACCTCACATTCCTCCTTTAGCAGCGGGAAACAGTCTAAATAGATCTAAGTATGAAGAATATATGTGGCACCATGCCTCTGTCAGTTCCAGTAAAACGCACCTTTGTTCTCTCCAACATCTTGATCTATAGAAACAGCTCTTCTCTGCAGGAGAACCAAGCTTCCTTGCATACCAGCTAAACTATGGCTAAGCAGAGGAGGAAAAGAAGTTTTCAGATACATTGGATGAGCTAGGTTTCTACCCTCTTGATGTTTTTAAATACTGCTACTTTAGGACTTACCTTGTTCTGCTTTAGTCTGTATAGGCTGTTTTGTAGATGGAGGTGTATGTGTGTTCTCGAGCGTGGGTCATCCTTTTCTTTCTTCTTAACCAGAACGCAAAGATACAAGTAAAACATGCATCTCACACTGACTCTGTACTTCTGCCACTCTTCAAAGGAATAAACTGGATTTCAGGTTTACAAGTAAAAGCAATAAATGTCAAGATACAGTTTTTGAAAACCCATTAGAAATTCATGAAGATATTTGCCTGTAACAACTCCTGAAACTCTTGTGTGTGGGATTCTTTTATATCTATTTAAACTTAACTGCCAGCTCTGATGGAATTATCTTGATAACAAGAGCTTACCAACAGTAGGGGCGGAAAGTTGTCCAGGTGACACTCCATTTCAAATATTCTTGCATTTCTCTTTTCTAACAAAGTAATTAATTTAACAAAAAAAGCAAGGATCCTTAAAGTTGAAGCTTTTATGTAACTTACCATGCTGTTTTCATAGGGGACTGTGTAGAAATCGGAACATGTCATTCCATTTAAGTGTTAAAGTGATCAGTATTTATTGAAAATGTCTGTATATTCCAGCTGAAGAGTCAATGGCCTGTTCATCACGTGTAGCGCATGGTCTTTGTTTTTTGAAACCTGTTTCCACACTTAAAGAACATAGTAGCCTATGACTTCATTATTGTAGAATTTTAAAAACTGCACAGTTATGAAGAAAAATAAACTCCAATGGTGATTACTGAGTGCATTTATTTTGGGTTGGGAAAAGTGGCTGGAAATTGGAGCTTCTCTGTTTCTATGAGACTCCCTAGAGTGGTGGTGGTGGGAGATCTGCTGTCACCCTGCAGCTCGTGCTGCAAGCCCGTGCTTGTGGTGAGCTGCTGGCTTTGCATGCTCTATATCTGTAGGAATTTTGTGGAGGCATGAGGGACCTCTGAGCTGCAGGAATGTTACGGCCTTGCTCTTGCATCCTTACAAAGGCTTCTCTACAGAGGTGGAATACTTAAGCGTTTGTTTGTGCTGTTTCAATCTCTTATATAACTCTACTTTACTTAACTGGGATTTTACATTTCTTTTAATTACCTGGGAGGGATTTCTGCTTCTAAGATTACTGGGATCTGTGCCTTCAGCAGGGCTAGGAAGCCAACTTTGCTGCAGTCAAACTAGTAGTGCAGTCTCTGTATCTGGCTGCCTCCCCCCTCTGATCACTCGAGAGGTTGCTCAGTGGGAGACTATGGCTCAGAGCAGGGCTTCACAGGTCCTGCAGTATATACCCTGGTAATGTGTGTCAGATGCTTCTGGGTCTAGCAGTAATTTGCACCTGGCAGCTTGATTTCTAGATTCTAAAACACTATTAACTCCCCGTCCTAACTGCTGAAGTCTTAGCTGTGCTAGCCTGGCCTTGAAGTCAATGTGGAGAGCAGTGTGCCCCCAAGAGCTTTCTGGGTGAGTTGCTTTTTGTGCTTGTCATTTGCTGCCATGCTCCATGTGAGGCCTTGGTTAAAAGTACCAAGTTCCTTCCCTTTCCTACTTTTATCCTTTATAAAAAAAGAGGGCTGTATGAAACAGGTGCAATGAGAATGTTGCTTCCTTTTTTATGTCTCTGCCACACAGAAATGCCTTTCCCCTCCCCCTTGTCTGATACTTAAAAACTACTTGCTCTGTCTTAGGCAGATGAGGCATCAACCAGGTTTCCCAAGTATGTAGCATTACGGTTGCAGACAGAAGCAGAGCTGTGAAAGAGCTTTACAAGTTTGGAAGATGGAGATTTGAAAGAGACCAGGTGATAGATATAAAAAGGACACGGATAAATGAAAACTTGAACTAAGGGTAATGGAGACTGCCGTGGATTCAAGGAGGTCCTGGACACTGCAGATACTACAGGACTATTAAAATAAATGTGGGAAGGGGGAGCGGGGTGGGACTGGGATTCCGCTGCCCGGGGAAGGTTGCTAAGAGTTACAGGCAGGAGCAAGGAGAAACTCACCTGAAGGAAATCCTGCCAGGAGCTGCAAAACTGTGCCTTTTGAGCAAGCATTCAGCCACAGGAAGGCAGGGGTGCTGCACATTAGCAAAGGGAAAGGCTTTCTTCTTT